AATCTTGCGTGCGGATTTGCAAACTCAAAGGAGATGCTTATCGGTACACGCTTCCTCGCTGGCTTTGGCGCAAGTGCTGTTTATGCTCTAGGAGGTGGTGTTCTGAGTGATATCTGGCGTCCTGACCAGCGTGGCAAGTCTCTTGGGTGGTACTCTGTCATTCCTCTCATCGGCGCCGCAACCGGCAAGTCCTAACTTCATTCCTTTGGGGATCACGTCACTAACTCTTACAAAAGGCCCTATTATTGGCGGCTTCATGACTGATCGGATTTCTTGGCGATGGATGTTCTGGTCTACTTCCATGTTCCAAGTCGCCATGGCTGCTATCTCGTTCACCACGTTCCGCGAGACATACGCCCCTGCAATTCTTAAGAAACGTGCTAAGAAATTGCGCAAAGAGACCGGTCAACCGTATCACACCTACGCTGAGCGAACGCAAGAGGGACATACTTTGAGAAAGGTCCTCACCCAAGCTATGACCCGTCCCCTTCGTCTTTTAGCCTTCCATCCCATCATCCAAGTCGCAGCTGTCATCTCCGCCATTGGCTATGGTCTCTTATACATCGTCCTCTCAAGCTTTGCGGAGATTTGGACACAGAAATATGGACAATCCGTTGAGATAAGTGGCCTGCACTACATCTCATGCGCATTGGGTGAACTAGCAGCATCACAAATCGGCGCGCCATTGATGGACTACTGGTTCCGCAGAACTGAGCGTCGCAATGGCCAGCATCTACCAGAAAACAGAGTACCACTAATGGCGATGGGTGCTTTCATCGCGCCAATTGGGTTCATCATCTATGGTTGGTGCGCTGAGTTCAGAGTTCACTGGGCATGGGTTGATGTAGCCATGTTTATTACCTGTTTCGGTATGCAGATCTCTGGTATGCCGTTGCAAGCGTACATGATCGATGCTTATCCGGATCATACTTCAAGTGCTATCGCGGCGGAGCAGTTTCCTCGTAGTCTGGCTGCTTTCTTGTTCCCGCTGTTTACACCAAAGATGTATGCTGCTCTTGGGTATGGTTGGGGAAACAGTGCTATGGCATTCGCGGAATTGGCACTCGAGTTAGCTGCACCGTTGCTGTTGTGGAAGGTTGGGGCCAGTCTACGAGCAAGGGCGACATCGAGTCTATAGAAAGGATTGGCTTGGTGTTAAGAGCACAATGCTACATACAGCTAACGGGTGTTGCTATTTGGTACTGTCAATTCGCTAGTCATCATGACTCCCATGAACCCGTCTTCGCACTTCACCGCCATATTCCAGGTTAGTCTGTTGTATATTGGCTAGGATCAATACTCAAACCTCCATCGAGGATCTGTATCGCCTCTCCAGTCCTCCACCTCTCCAACGTGCTTAATCTCCTCACTCACCGCCGCCCGAGCATCATTCTGCTTCTTCAACCTCCAGCCAAGTATAGTCACAACCACAATATTAGCGACAAGATATCCCAAAGCCATAGAATGTCCAACCACAAATCGCGGTCCGTCACCAGATCGATACAGTTGTGTCCCCATAACAGCACCAAGGTTTCCAATGCTGATCTGCATAGCATTCGCAATAGCACGCTTCGTTTGTCCAGATACGTTGATCGCGGGCCAACTGAGGACAAGAGCAGTGGCGGGGTAGATTCCGGCTGCGGCGAAGAATGTTCCAACGTATGAGACTCCTGGTCTTGCGGTGGGGTTTGTGTTGGCGAGAAGGATGATGTATCCAATTGCTGCGACGCCAGCTGAGCCGGCGATGAAGACAGCGCGTTTGGCGAGTTTCTCAGAGGCGATAGCAACACCCAGAGTCGTGACAAAGGCGACGGCGTATGGCGGGATTGTCAGCAACTGCGCGACCGCTGCTTTGTATCCGAGGTCCTTAATAATGGTTGGCTAAGACCGTTAGTAGGAATTCGAACTCAAGAGCATAGCGACTTACCAGGAACAGCGACAGCGTGTACAGTGGTAGACTCATGGTGTGAAAGCCCAGACCATAGAGCCAACAACTTGGGTCACTGAATGCCTCGCGAACAGCAGCCCAGCTGAACTTCTCCTCGCGAATCGCGTCGCTGTCTGCATGCAGCCGTTCATGGATGTATGAACGCTCCGACTTTGTGAGGAATTTTGAGGTATCGGGGTAGTTCTCGATGAACCAGTATGCCGCAACGGCGACTACTACTGTCGCGATACCTTCCTATTTATCGTTAGCTCGGCCTGGAGAATGTCGGTGTAGCGGCTCACCAAGATGAAGATCCATCGCCAACCATTATCCCAGACGACACCTGCCATCTTACCAATCCCCTGAATCCATTAGTACAGCTGCCTGATAGAATTCAAGGTGACTTACATATGCCAAGATGCCACCAAACGCTCCAGCTAGTGATGCAGCGCTGAAAAAGAGCGAGATACGATATTGTCGCTCACGGCGTTTGTACCACATTGAGAAATAGTACACAACACCTATTCATCATCAATACAAACATTTCAAATAGAGGCCCTTAGGAGTGAACTGACCAGGAAACAATCCGCTCTCAGTTACACCCAGGAAGAATCGAGCAATGAAGAAACCAGTCTTGTTCTGCACGATACCGAGAAGAGTCGCGACAATACCCCAGGCCACAGTGAGTGTTGGCAGCCAGAGCCGAGGTGTAGTCCGTTTGAGGATGATATTGCACGGAATCTGGAGCTGTCAGATTCACGCTTGGGGACAATGAGGGACGACGAACCTCGAAGAGGACATAACCGATGAAGTACAGCGTCAAGCCGGTGAGATATTCATTTCCCGCTGTCGAACGTCAGAATCCAGTCTCCAGGCATACACTTTTTGATCTTACACATATGCAGATCGTCAATCATTCCCTCAATACGAGCATTGCCAACTGTCCGTTTATGTCAGCTCGACGTCATGCCGTCCTGTTGCAATCATCCATACCATTGCTGCGGTCTAAGAATGACAGCAGATACAAGATCCCAACTGCTGGTAGAAGCTTCAAGTCAAGTTTTCGTAGCAGTGCTTTCTCGTTTATTTGCGAGCTAGAGTCGATAGTGCCGGCCTCATCGCTGAGGTCCGGCGGCGAATCGTTCTTCAGGTCGGCAGTCATTGTATAGAGCAGCGTCTCGAGACCAGATGTTGCAAAGCAGTAGAAACTTGAGATTTGAGGTGGGACATATCAAGTAAATATGCTTGCGGAGTAAGAATGATGTCTCTCTCTAGTAGTATTGCACCATATGTCCCTTGTTCAGATCTTCATGAGGTTTCATCCATTTCAACTTGTCATTTGGATGCAACGCTGATACTCGGTACTTCTCCAACCGCTGGGACCACCACCTCGTCAAAAGTACCGTAGACGAGATCTGCAACAACTCTTGCCCTTTACACAACTAAGAGCGATGCACAGAGAGATTAGAGTACAGTGATGGATGCACAATCTAGATGCATCGGTCGGAGCATTTTCCCCAAACGACCCAAACATGACGTTGGCGCGTAGAATGAACCACTGCCGGCAATTTTATCACTTCCATGACATCACCATTTTGATGAAGGGTTTGTCTTTGAGACGAGAAGTTGACATGTCGCCATGTTAGTAGCCTCTGTCGTGATCTCAGACAGGCCAATGGGAGCGTTTGTGATAACGGCTTGGCTTACCCACTTGGGGTAGCGTGGGGAACCATGAACGTGGGATTTCATGGAATAACGGAATCTAGGGGAGGAAAGAAAACTCAGTACCTTCATCCTTAATGACAAAAAGACTAAGGTAACTTGATATAAATTTAGGATATCTTAATAAGCTTAGGATAACTTTTCCTGGGTTTATTTTGATACCCTATATTAAGGTGCGGTGTTTTCTTGGTCCCTGAAGGGAGCAAAGCAAAGACTTTTAGTACATATTGGACTTTTGACGCGTGCATTGAATTGGGCGAATGAGACTGAAGGAGATAGTAAAGCGGACAAAGACGAATCGGAATAGATTTCGAATCAACGCCACTAGCAGCCCTACAAGTCAATCAGGTTCAATGTTTTGTTCTTCCATCAAGCTGAATACATTATTCAATAATCCCCTCCATTTCCAATCCCAAATACAACCGTAAGATCCATGTATTGGACGTAGGTATGGTGTCATGTTTTACTGGATGTCAAGACCGGCCAAGATCTTATTCACATCAAGGCCCGTGCCTCGAGATCCCACTATCTCATGTTTAAGGAAGGCTATTACTTCACGTATACTTTTGTAATGGCTAGCTTTTACTTAAATGATATATAGGAATGATGCAGTTGCATGCTCGTCATGTTGAGATTTCGTCTCCTTACCGAAGGGTCCGAGACCTTGATGGTAACGTACCTCAGCAACCAAGCCGCGGTTTCGTGGAATATTTTTATAGGAAAATATCCAATAAATGGTTCTTAAGACTTTTTCAAGCATTTTATTTTTAGAACTAAAACATATTGTGATGGACCCTTCTTCAGCTTGCACTACCAAAGCCTTTGATACGTGCAACATATTATACGTAGACAGACCAGGCTAACCATTATGAATCTCATAAATACTACTCTGCACATGTCAGGCTACTATTCTATTTAAAATCTTTCCAAAATGAGAGTAAACACGGGGTTCTATTCCGTACTGCTGCGGTAACGAGATAGGAAATGATATTGAAACCTTATACCATATGCCGAAAACCTTGTTCGTATGGGAACCCGGTGCGTTACACGTTGCGGGGAAACGACATTGGGAAACGGTACACAACCGTAAATAACACGTATTCATTCGGAGTAGGATTGAAATTAAGTAGCTGAAGTTTCCGACGGGCGTGTATCCCGACGGAAGTGAGATTTTCGAAGTCCGTTCAAGTCTCGACTGCGTACTCGCAATCTTACATAAACCCGACTACGTGGTGTCTACACTCTTTATCTATCGCTACGACATAACTTTCACTAGCTATTCCATAGGCCCATCATCGCTTCACCCCTGTACACCTTTCAGCTTCAGCTTTATCCCTCTTATCGGGCCAGAATGGCGTCCCTCGCCACTAAAACCAAGCCGCCAAAGAACGGCATAAAAATCATCCACGCAGGTCTATACCGCACAGGAACTGCTTCCATGGCCGCAGCATACCGGATCCTCGGCTACAAAGCCCATCACGCTCTACATAACGAATGGCACGAACCCTGGATCAAACTCGAGCAAGCAGCAGAAGCTACCTTTCCTCACCTCATCAAGCTCCCAGACTACACTCACAAAGGACCTCGCCCACAGTTCACAAGAGAAGATTGGCAGAGTTTGTGGGGTGCCTATGATGTCGCCACTGATATAGCGTCGACGTTCACGTTGGAGCTCATCAAAGCGTATCCCGACGCAAAGGTTGTTATTGTTCAGAGGAAGTTTGAAGATTGGTGGCCTTCGTTTCATTCGGAGATATTAGTCTCTGTCTTTGAAGCCACTTGGCTTCAGAAGTTCTTGACGTGGTATGTCTTGCGTTTTCGAGCTTTACATGCCATGAGGAAGATTCTCGCTGGTTTCTTCTCTGTGAATGAGTTCTCTGTCGAGGCCATCACGCCTGATATTGCAAGGAATACTTATGAGGAATTTTACACCAAGGTTCGGGAAGCTGTACCAAAGGAGAGACGGCTGGAGTATTCTCTGGGTGATGGGTGGGAACCGCTTTGTGAATTCTTGGGAAAGGATATACCGGATGTTGAATTTCCGAGAGTCAATGATCGGAAAACTCATAGTAAAGATATGGAGCGGCTCATGGCGAAGCTTATGAGGGTTTCGATGGGGGTTCTGGGACCTTATCTTGTTGCGATTCTTGCCGTTGCTGTTGTGTTTTATGCCTGGTAAGGGTGCGTATCAAGATCATAAGAGTACCTCTTATTCTTCGCCATCTAGCGGTCTCTTGACAGATCCACTGGAAGTATAGAAAGTTCCAAGATAGAAATAGCATTAATATGTACTGGCTGAATATTATACGATATTATGTAGAGCATCCAATTGTTCTCATCCAAAAACTCCGTCATATCAGTTCAGATCCAAACATCATCACTTCTCATAGCCGATCACCACAAATCATAAACCCTCATAGGCATACCTCTCTTCCTCAACGGAAGAGCAGTACTATTCCTCGTAACATTCTGAATAGTACATCCCTCCGTCTTGTACGCTTTATCATACTGTCCAGTCAAAACAGCAGCCAACCACTGAATAGCCGTAGCAGCATTAAGCACAAAGTTCTGTGAGTGCGTGCCCACAGTGTTTCGTTGATACAGGATATTAGCGCCGACACCGCAGTATCGCTCAATGAGCTTATCCGTGTTTGCGATCGGGCTGATCTCATCATGGACACCCTGGTACGCAAAGATGGGCCACTGGGGGACGCCGTGGTAGCCCATTATTCCATCGCGGTTGATGATGCGCTGGACGCGAGGATCACGGAATAGCTTCTCGCCGTCCTTGAAGAAATCGAAGATATCGACTCCCGCAAATGCAGCGCCTGCTTCAGCGAGGGTGTAGTTCTCGGCAGCCAGGAAGGCAGTCTTGTTGTTTTCTCCGGACGTCTTCAATTGCGAGAGAACGTACTTCTGCACGTCAGGATACTGGCTAGTTAGACCGAGAATGGAGCTTGGCGCAAGGCCAGCAGCGTCTTTGCCGGAAATAGCATCCAAGACAGCGGTGACATTAGGTGTCAGGCCACCAAGCGCAGCACCAACGACTGTGTCTTGAAGATCAGGCGCATACTGCACAACAAGCTCAGAAGCCCATTCACTAGCCAACGCGCCACCAGAGTATCCCCAAAGCGCAACGCGAGGACTCGTTGCGTTGAGACCAAGGCCGAGAGAGAGAATAGCGCGGATTGAATCAAGAGTCGCATGGCCGGAGATGACACCTGCTGTGAAGGACGCAAGAGGACCTTCGTAGTCAGGAACGCTGAGAAACACGCCAAGACCTAGAGCAGCATTGAAAAGCTCCAGACTGCTGACACCATCTGCGGAGTAAACCGCGTAACTGGGGCTAGCATCCACATCTGCTGAATCATAGGGAACTTGGTACGAGAGCAAAGCGCTCTGGTTGAAGAGCGTCGCAGCAGTGCTGTTGGCCCCAAGCTTAGGCACAAAGAGCGTTGTTACGGCCCATGTTGGCTTGTACTGGCTGTCTGTGGTGCGGTACAAGATATTATACGTAGCAGAGCTGTTTCCAGTGATGCGGGTCAAATTTCCTGGTGCAGGGCGTAGACGAAGAACAGTGCCGGGCTCTTTGCTCTCATAGCCTTCTGGAGCGGTATACCATGGATCTTGGCTGGGTGGAAGAGGTTCAGAGGATACAGCTCGTTTGTAAATATGGCCTTGAGCAGCAGCAGTGAGGCCCAGCAAAAGAGTGAGAAGACGATGAAGAGCCATTTTGAAGTATGATGTAATTGACTACCAGTCCAAACCTTGAAGCAACAGCGGAGAAGTGCCTTTTTAACTCAATTCTACATCATATTACGTATGACGCCGAGCCGAGGCTTCCGCCAACCGTGCCCCCCAGAAAGAAAAACATGGTTCAGAAAAAGGCTTGGAAGATGCCATTTCGATAGTTCACAGCCTAGCTTGGCAGTCATGACGATGAGTGTTTGGTGGCTGGACGAATTAGCTTGTCCGACGTGACCAATTAGAGGAGCGAGAGTCCGTAAGATTGATCCGGTTTTCCGTTGTTGCGGGGTTGAGACAAGGGTAGGGACAGAGGTCCGACGGAGGGAAGGGTTTATTTTTGTTTCCGATGATTACGTTGGATGGGAGATGAGCCTTGTAATGTTTTGGTGGAGGAATGCATGCTGGGCTGTTGCTGGGCGGTGTTTTTGTCTGTCTTAGCCGTGGTGAAGCCACTGTTGAAGGGCATGGAGATGGAGGACAAACGCCCGTCAGTTAGTCAAGGCTGAGAATCAGAGGCTTGGACTCGTCTACCTACGCCATTGACAAAGTTCATCGGGTTACTTGCCAGTAATGGCGTTGCCCGTTACGCGTGCGTTTGTGCGTTGGCATCGTTAGCTCCGCCGTCAAATGCGGGGTTTCAATCTAACGATTCAGCTGCCCGATTTGCGAATTGATACAATGAGCATGTGCAAATGGGACTGAAGAACTGACCCAGAGCTACGGAAACTTTCATCTTGCAGTGCAAGGTTCTACAGTGATCGGTAGATCCCTCTGTAGAGTTTAATTCATCTCAATGTCACTGTATCATTGATGACGCAATGGGGTTGGTAGTCCTATGCGTTGGTGGGAGCTTGGTGGAGATAACAAGCGGTTAGCCGCGTTAGTGCTATAGCCGATCTCCGCACCTTTGGTATGTCTTGTTGTCAGAAATTTAGCAATAATGCCTGCTTTATTCTGTCGCTTGACTGCTCCTACCCGGTAGTTCACGTTGAATTCTTTGCTCAGGCTGCCTTTATGCAGTCTATCTTACCTACACTTTGCAATTGTGAATGACTAAAAATTGTGCTCTGAGAAAAGCTTGTGTTATTTAAATAAGCAAGGGCTTAATTTCCATTCATTGGTAGAAAGCGCATAATGGGTTGGCTTGTTTGAAGATACGTAAGGTACTTATCGACATCTGGTTTTGTTCAAGATTATCAACAGTACCTGACAATACAGGATGAGTACGTAGAAGTAGGCAAAAGCTTTCGCCATTTCTTTATTCTGAGCCAGTATCTGTTCTAAAATAAATTTCTACAAAGTACCTATGACCCAGAAGTCCCGCGCATCTCACCAGACTTCTACTTAGTCTTCCAGTAGGGGTTGTTGATGGCCTCGGTAATAATCTCTCTAAGTGGCTTCCAGTCTTCCTGACCAGCCCACCTCTTCAAGAGAGCAACAGACTCAGACTGATCAGTTGAGAGCTTTAGGTAGAATGTCTCAGGATAGTCAGGGATGAATTTTCTCTGCGGTCGAAGCTCTCGCAGGATGGGCAAGAAGTTGTTCCAGTGAGCTTTGTGGCCCCATGTCTGGAGACGCGCATCCTTGAGTTCAGGATCAATAATGCCAACGACATGGAGGAGGGCAACGTCTTGGACGTCAACAAAGAATGCTTGGTAGTTGAATGTCAGTGTATTGTGAAGGTGTTGATCAATGAATGGGACCTACCAGTTTGGAACGTGTCAATCATCTCCCTCTTCTCCATGAAGATAGAATAAATCCAGTTTCCATATGTAGTGGTATGTCTCTCGTGGAGCGGCTCGCCCAAGATACCAGACGGGCAGATGACATTAGTCACAAAGTGAGGCTTATTGTCGTCGATGTATTTCCATAGAGCTTGTTCCGCAGCGACCTTGCTTGCAGCGTAGACGAGCATTGCACGCGATGGCTCGTAAGGTGGCGGAGCCCAGGCCGCTTCGATAGCGAATTCGTTCCATGAATTGCGGTCGACAACACCGTCTGAGTCAGGCGTTGGGAAAACAGCAGCGATGATGGAGCTAGTGAAGACAAAGCGCGCAACAGAAGGCTCTTTGGATGCACTTTCGAGGATAGAGGTTACTCCTGCGACGGTCTGGGGAACGACATTGTTGGGGTTGGGATCAAAGTCAAGGACACTTGCAATGTGAGCAACGGCCGAAACACCATTTACTGCATCATCAAAAGCTCCAGCAGCAGATAGATCAGGAACAGTGACGAGCTCGTAGGAACCACTGTCGGCATAAGACTTGAAGTGATCGTCAATGAGCCACTGGGCTTTGGCCTGATCACGGACTGTGCCTCGGACCTTGTAGCCGCGCTGGAGAAGTTGGCGGGTAACGTGGCTGGCGACAAAGCCTGTGGCGCCTGTGACAAGGACCCATGAGCCGGTGGGGATGGCAGTTGAGGTTGAAGACATGTTGATATACTAGTTTATCAAAGATGAGAAGGTTATTTGAGCTTCAGGATTGAGATTAAAGAGTCCAAGGAGCTGATCGATATACACATATATATAGCTTTCCAAGAGTCGATGAGGGACATAGCATGTCGCCGGATTTCATGGCTCATCTCTCGAGCTTACAAACCAAGGGATGCTTCATGATGAATGAAACTTCTCACCGAAGCCAAAAGAACAGAAATGACCTTCTCAATGCTCTGGACTGACACAAGTAGTAGTTCGTACTCTGACTGCCGGCATTTTCGACCTGAATAGGAAGTCATAAGGCTTGGCAAAGTGGATACTATCAACTTGTACGAATTTTAGAGAAGAACATCTGCCACAAGAAGACTGCCTGGTGTGATTATATGTATCATAAACATAAGCTTACGCAAGGAATTGAATCATAGTTTATACGTTGCCTTACCAGCAGTGGCTGGTGTAAGCAATACCCTTTGGTAACTGTAGCCCCGGACTCTCCCTCATCTCAAGGAATCTAAAATACATGCGCTTCAGCAGTCCCGTCCCATCAAGACACTGCGAACCCCCTGCAGCTTCTATCATCGCAAATACACCCTGAATGTGCTGTCTCGCAACATTAGCCTCACCAAAGCTAACCTACTCAAACGTCAGAACAAACTTCTACGCGGTACAAAACGCCTACCTCATCTAAAGCCATAGCACAAGCTTTCGCAATAGTCACTGCACTAACAGTCGGTGGAGCGCCACTAACGGCATGGCGCAGTGCTTTGAGGCCGTTGTACTTATACTGTAGTGCGGCCTGCATTAAATAAGAGTTGGGGTTGTTAGTAAGAATGTTGCGGCATGCGCCGAGGAGGATAATGGAGCTGAGAAGATCACTGTCTGTAATGGCGAGACCAACCCAATCGCGCATTACGTGTCCTTCATGGTCGTTCATTTGGTTGAAGAGACGACATGTCCTGACGTTATATGGAACAACGACACGAACATCTTTGGAGTGTTGTTAGTGGATGGGCACGAGCAAGGTGACAAACATACAATGGTCGAGAAGAAAGGTCTCATGAGACAAGAGTTGTTTCGGAAGCGCGGAAAATGGATCTCGGCTATACCCAAGAACCTTGTTTAGCGAAGTACTCTCTGCATTTCTCGCCATGTCTTCCTGGTGTTTCTGCATCCGTAGTCTTCTCTCCTTGGCATGTCTTTGCCGAACCGCATGGGAGTGAGTTAAGCTCCGCACATGCTGGGGAACAGGCTCAGCGGGGTTAGAGACGGTGACAAATTGGAAGTCTCGTGGCATTTTTGTTTCTCTGTAACGTTCTTGTGATTCATGAGATGGAAAGCAGGAGGTCGAACTGTCGGAGAGAAGAACATTTACGGAGTTACTAAGCTGAGGTGAAATGCCAAGACTTACAACTTCTGGTTTGGGTTAGTATGGAAGTTTGGCTGAAGCACTGAGCTATTTTTGGTTAGCGTAGGGTAGCCATCTGAGCGCACGCTCCCGAAACCATGAGAGCGCGTTCAAGGTCTGCCTAGAGGATGAGGACGTGACACCCATATCAGACAAGCGCTTCTCCGCCTGGAGCCTACGGAGAGTTTTTAAGCCTTCGTTAGTAATCCCGACTCACATTACTCAAGATCCACTGCAAGTATCATAGATCCGATTCCATGCCAACTAAGCAGGTATCAATCGTCTCTCGGGCGTCACACAAGGTACATAGTTCCGGGGGATAGATTGTTCATATAGTACAGTATTTTACAATGAGATATTGTTCTTTTGGCACTGCTCCATTTATCCACCGCTGCTCAACGTTCTTATACACCGTACCGAAACTCACGGAACTTCTTCTGGTAATAATACGTCGCAAGTCCACCCGCAGCACCAAGAAGAAGCGGTACAGGAGCTCGGCCACCAGTCTTGATGATTCTAGGCACGGCAGAGCCGGTCAGTAGGACACTGTTGGCAAGGGCAAGCTCAGACCCGTAGTCCTTGTTGTTCTTGAGGAGATAGCCTGCGCCTTGTGAGCCGTGAGATCATGTGAGGGAGAGGAGCACGTACCAGCATAAGCGTATGAGATACCGAGACCAACACCAGCGACGAGAGAAGGAGTTGAGCGAGTTCGGATGTAGCCGGCTGTACCGCCAGCGGCCACTGTGAGGAAGGATGGTCAATTGGAGTCCAGGTCACACTGGGAGGTCGTGGGGTGACTTACGTAGACCAGCGAGAGTGAATGAAGGGTGCTCAGCCATTTTTTCGACGTCAATGGCGATCGATGATACACTGACAATAAGCTTTTGGGTTGATGAGACTTGTCGGCATCAGCGGCATTTGGTGGGCTGATCTTCGAGACTGGCTGACAAATGCTGCTGATAGGCCCGGGGAAATGTGGTTCCGGGGCTTATCGTGCGAACGCGTTCGCGTAGATAACGTGTTATCACAACATCAACATCGTGGCTCTCTGAATGCTGAGACTGGGGCATGTCCTCAACAATAGTATAGTAGTGTGATACATCAGTTGCGATGCTCTCTCAAGACGTCTCGCACCCATTCCAGACCCGCAGCCAGCCCTTCCCCGATCGAGGCGCTCGCAGGCTGAACACGCTGATAATTACGCGTTAGCATCATCTTGAGAGTGCAATGTGAGGCTGTACTGACGCACTTCGATGGTTTGTCAAGATATTGTTGTATATCAAGATACTCAACCAATTTTGCGACGCTCATGGCTTTCTGTCGCCTGTTAGTTCCCAAGATGGCACCTGTCAGAATGCCTCTCACCGAATCATCTTGCTTGTTAGCAAGCACCAGAAATGGCTGCTGCTCAAGCATATCTTCCTTCAACAACCCAGCCAATTCCGTCCTTGCTTCCTGTAGCGCATAATTGTCTGTGCTATCGATGACAAACACAACGGCTTGTAACCTGGACATGAAACTTCTCCAACAAGGTCTCCAGTGCGGATTTCCAGCATAGTCGAAGAGTTTGAACTGTTGGCTTCCTTGAAACACGTTGGTGATCTCGACGGCTACTGATGTCAGTCTTATGAATTCAATGGCCGAAAAAAAAGGAGACTCACTCTCAACGGATGGTGTCACTGGATCTGGATTTCCGCTCAATGTATGCACGATGGTTGTTTTCCTGCTGAGCGAAGACCAATCAAGCCAACTGTGATTAGCGGCGGGGCCCAGTACTGAGAGAATGTGGCGCCCATGTTGAGTTCCTTGGCTGCAGGAGAATGCTGGAATTATTAGGTATGGAGAGTTGTCTGTCTCGGGGAAAGCTGTGCGTTTTATGAATCCGTGGCATGGCTGACCAGGCATCAGCGGGGACTAATAAGTAAGCGCTACTCTTGACAGCTCACCCACTTTGATTGCCGGTGATCTGGTCAGATCTTGTGTCCAAAAGCCCTTTCTCGTTGGTGACGATGGTATCGAGCCAAGGACTGACCTGACCCTCATGCCTTTCGTCTTCTTCGGGATCGCGATACCAAGGCTAGACTGTTCAGATCGTCACCATGTCCATGGGACAAAGTCTATCATATTGGTGCTCTAAAGTCTTCCGAGCATATCTAGGGAGAATTCTTTAGAAGGCTGGGTTTCAGCGTGACCGACAGTTGAAATGGCCCTGGAGGCCCTGGCATTCCCTGAGCTTGCGCATGATCCTGACCGCCTCGTTTCCTAAACGAAAAGATAAAGGCGTTTCTGAGAAAAATGAACATCAGATGACGCTCTGCAAGGGTTCCAGATCTTGTAGTGTCGTTTAACACGAGTATTACTGTTCCATGACTAAACGGGGATAAGGAAGACGCAGTTGGCCATCTTACACACGAAGCAAGGGAGCGATTCAATACAGAAGCAACGAAGGCGCAAACGGCGGTGAATGGCGATCGGTAACCAAATGCTGCATGTGGCCCTGTATGCCTGCGCTGTCCAGAGCCGTGTCACGCGGTCGTAGGAGATGGTCGACGCAGGAGGCCGACCGCGGCAACTTAAATCACCAATAGGCGCTGCTGGTTCGAAAGAAACAGTGTGTAAAAGAATCGATAAACATCCTTTGTTAAGAGTCGTTGGAGGCAAACAGTACCTACTAGAATGTCATTTCAATTAATCATCTTCCAATTTGAGAGCTTTCCAAGGCAGCACTTTGTCGTTCAAACAGCCGATGATAAGTGGCGCGTGGCGCATCGCGTTTTTCAAAGCTGCAGTTGCTTGCCACCAGCAAGAGACCGCGATTAGCGTTGGCACTGGCAAAAAGTTGACCGGCAGCGCATGATGTTTGCTCTTTCGTCATTCATGCAAGCCGTCGTGCCCCTCCCCTCCCCTTCTCTTCCCTTCTCCTCTCAAGATTCTCTTCCTTCTCTTCTCAACTGAACCTCCCTGGCGGAATCAATACGACAACCAGCACCAGGTTAGCCGCACCATCAAGCTTTATCACCCAATCTGGATGAGTGCTAACAAACTGACGACCCAGAGTCAGCCAGCGATTGTTTCATCATGCCAGGAAAGAGAGGAAAGAAGTCGCCGCGCTCGTGGTCCCTGTTCCCCGATCTCCACGACCAAGTCGCCGATAAACTTGAAGAAGATCAGCTTGACTACACCTTCTTCGACAAGGACGAGGATCTTGGCACTATTCATACCTACGACACCAACATCATTGGGCGGTTCATATGCCACAACAACAAATGCCCCTCCCCCGGCTGGAAGAGCATGGTCGTGGCCATCACGATTCGCGAGTACTCACGTAACCGCTATAATGTCCGCGTGTACCACCAGCGCTGCCTCAAATGCAACCACCTGAGCAAGCCGAAGCTCAACGAAGAGACCTATGTCGATAGAGTCACTTACCGCATCAAGAAGTGGAATAGAGTTGAGGTTGAAGAGCCCGAGTACTCCAAGAAGGACACGCTGCCTCACAAGAGAAACCATTGCGAGGGATGCAAGGCCGGACACTGCAAACAAGGAAACCGGGACGATGAGGACAACATGTATTTCGCTTGAGTTGGCGGTAGACGTGGGGCATAGACAGAACGACATCTAGGTTATGACACGTCCAATATTGTCTATAGCTAGGATCAAAGTTTGCCAACTTCAATTGATCAGACCAACTCTCAAATCATTCATAGGCCCTCGTGATTTCGCATAGGGCGCAGTTTGAGCTCAGACCAAAAACAATTGAATGGCTGTTTGCGACATAGAGAAATGCCCTGTTCAGGTTGTGAGTTGGGGCCCTTCATAAGTGGCCGCTTACTTGACCTCACTGGAAAAACCTTGCAACGAAACAGGAACAGAGAAGGCCACACCATTTCATCTCAGACCTTGCAGTCCATCAAAGTTTTCACAAACAAGTTCTGGCCAGTCTCTCCACCCCATTTGGCCAACCCAGCAGCCCAGATCGTCAGCCAGCCACAAGTTCACAACACACCCTCTACAACCAACGGAACCAGCAAAAGTGTAGGCAGATTAAATTACATAGAGTGTAAAAAACATACAACAGCGGGGATTCGCTGGTCGTCACCGACCCAACTACTAATCCGCCCCTTGCAGGCTTGACTATGGGAGAGCGGACGGGATCCCGTATTCTACTGCAGGTATGGTCGTATGTGACGGAACGAGCAGCCGTCGAGGCTCAAGAACGCAGAGAGATAATCCCCCGCAACTCTCCTTGGAGGTAAGCCAATCTACTACCCACAAACAACCATATGGATCATGATTAAAATGCGCCCCATCCCAAGAACCCTTACAGAACCTGGCATTTTGTCTCTGTATGTTCTTTACCCACGTGTCCCTGAACACTATACACCGGCAGCGACATTCCCATTTCGATCTATCTTGTATCAAGTATCCCTACCGTGCGTCATGGAATCATGGGTACCATCTTGAGATTGTGCAGCCCCAAAAGCATCAGACGAAAAGATACTAATGGAGACATCGGTGGGAATTTTCACAGTCTGGTTGTTCTAGCATTATTACTATACACTAGATGCCACGCAGTAAAACTTCCGATTTATGGTAACTTCGAAATCATCGGGTCACCTCTGGAAAACTGATTCTTGCTGGCTCTCGGACTTATGGACTTTCTATCTTTGCTTGAAAAATGGTAGTTTTACGCCAAGGTTGGTTTCTCCTACTTAATCGCTAAGTAGTTAAGCCAAGATGTTCGCAAACTTTCGTGGCCGTGACGGCCTAGTGCAACTGCTCGCTTCATTGAATTCGAATAGTGACTTTCCGTAGTTTCCAGTGATGTGCTGTTTCCCAGGTCATCGATCAGCATGATCTAAGCCGCCATCACAACAGGCTTATCAATTCCTCAATCACAATATCCGAAAAGTTCTTGCTTTTTTTTGATGACTTGTTTCTTTTCTTTTCTATAGGACGTAAGAGGGAAGTATACTCAACAGAGGATGGTATCTCTCAAACAAAGCATCTATCATGTTTGCGAAGCTTTACGGAAAGGCAAGCTAGACCTACAGAACGGCAAGGGTTTCACTACATAGTGCAAGCTGCTTCCTCGTTACGGTACTTGCAACCATCTCTCTCAGTCCTCTGTGCTTAGTGACGAGCCCTTGAAAGGCAACGTATTCAGTGGACAGTCATCTCTTGTCCCCGCCGTCTACTCAAGTTAGCCTAGGCAAATTCCTAGAAGATGTCACATGTAGAGCAAACCTCCACCTCAGCTATTAATAACCGCTTCCAGCTCACGCAGCTTGACAGGTTTCGTAATAAAAACATCGACACCGCTTCTAGTTGCTTCCTCCCGCGTACTTTCAGACCCAAGTCCCGTAATAGCCAAGATCTTGGATGCAGCTATTCCGTTGTATCGCTCAAACGCCCGTATCTGACGCGTAGCTTCTAGACCGTCCATTACCGGCATCGATATATCCATAAGTACACACTTGAACTGCCCCGGCAACTCTTTATACGCATTCACCGCTTCCTGCCCGTTTACTGCGGTGCGGTACGGCTTTTGGAGTTTCCTCATAAAATGAGTTAGCATCTTGAGGTTTATAGGGTTGTCTTCTACTAGGAGGAACTGCGGGGTCTGGAAGTAGTCTTGGGCTGGGACCAGCCCGCCCAAGGGACTCTCTATGGCGGGTGTCGGCGGTTGGCTGCATGACACCGTGTCTGAAGGCGTGGGCAGTGGTATCGTTCCTGTGCTCTGTGGACTGTCTTCTATCTCAGCCCAGAGGGTGATGGCTCTTGAGACTGCCCTTGCTAGCTTGTTCGGAGTGAGGCTTGAAACTATTTAGTAAAAATGGGCATTGTATATGCAGAATGACTCACGGTTGCGCAACAAAATCACATAATCCCGTGTGTCCAGCTGATATATGTGCTGACTCGTATCTTTGAACGACAAGTGCGTTGTTGCAAACCACCAGTACCGGTGCTTCGGGCCACAACTGCGCTAGTTCTGAAATATTCCTTGTGGAACTATCCTGCACAATAACGATATCTGGAGCTAGTCGTTCCACCTCTGGTAACGCGTCCGATACCATGCCGAGGTGCCCAAAGCACAAATCACTCATCAAGGCTTGGAAAGTCATAGACTCATGCTGAAGAGCGGCTGCGTGACCTGGAGGCAGACAGGCCAGTCTGGCGCGTAGACCATGGCATGGGCTTTGTACGTAGATCGCAAATTCAGATCCTGGAGAGCTTGTACCTTGCACCATGGGTATCGACACTGTGACTTTGGTGCCAACATCGACTTGGCTACTGATGGATATTGTGCCTCCAAGCTGGTACGTCATCCTCTGGACGAAACTGAGTCCCAGCCCCGTCCCGCTAGATAATTGGTCCTCTTGAGAGAACGGCTTGAAGACATTATTGCGGAGAAAGTCCTCGCTAATTCCCCGTCCCGTATCTTCAACCACCAGTTCAATCATGCGCTCTCCGCCTGCTGCATCTTCTAATTGTGATTGAGACATCGTAACCTTGATGAAACCTTGAGATGTATACTTGAGCGAGTTTCCAAAAAGGTTCATGATGATTCGGCGAATAGCACCGGCCCGCGTTTGGAAGCTCCATGGGAGTGTTGGGTCGTAGAGCAAAAACACGGAAACGATACCATCCTGGGGTCGGTTCCTCTGGTCAATGGCCTTTGCCTCTGCGGCTTCTATGGAGTCCATTCGTCGAAGGGCGCTGACTTCGGCACTCGTTCGGCTGTTGAAAGGACTGAAGATGTGAGCGATCGACGCATGCTGATAGCTGTGGCCAGCATAAACGCTCTCTACTGCATCCTCAGCAATTTGGTCCAGGTGAACAGTTTTGTTCAAGATCTGTTCCCGATTCGATGGCGCAGTGCTGATCGTGGATTCCTCCGAACA